TCAGTGGCAGTTACTATTTTTGCTTCACACTGTAACTGTTTTGCAAGAAAAACAAGAATCAAATGAAAACGGGAGAAAGGCATAAAATAGCAATTTTCTCAAGAGGAAACAAAAGAAACATGCCATCACGTGGAAGATGGCTTTGGGGATAGACAAAACCAAGAAATTGTTTAGCCAGTATCTTTTTCTTTTTCATTATTCCAATGACTCCCAGTGCGGGTGAGGTGGCGAGCAAATGTTTTTCTGCAGATGGAAGTGTAGGTCAGACACCGTGGCTTCCATCAATACACAAAATTGCTCACATTTTTTTAATTAAGATACATTATCCCTGAAATTACCTGGATAAACAAATTGAGCAGCTTAAAAATAACCAAACAAGCCTGGCCATGGTGTCACACACCTTTGATCCCAGCCCTGGATGTGAAGGCAGGTGGATCTCTGAGTTCGAAGCCAGCCTGGTCTACAGAGCGAGTTCCAGAACAGCCAGGGCTACACAAAGAAACCCTGTCTCAAAAAACAAACAAGTAAAACAAATGAAAACCTAGATATATACCAATGTGGTGTATGTAACAGTTTAAACATTACAAAGAAAAATAATTTAATTTAAATACTGGGCACTGGAACACTGGTTGGATAACCGTGATTGAGCTGCCTGGGCCACATAGCACCGTCATCTTTCAAAAAGGAAGGAAGAGAGGAAGAGAGAAGAAAGGATAGAAAAGAAGGAAGGGAGGGAAGGAGGAGGATGAGGGAAAAGAGCAAAAGCCAGCTGGTACAGTGGCAAATGCCTTTACCCCAGCGCTATGCAAAAGTAGATGCAGGTGGTTCTCTGTGAGTTCAAGGCCAGCCTGTTCAATTTAGCAAATTTCAGGCCATCTAGAAACATACAGTGAGACACTGACTCAAAACCAGAAACAAAATAACAATTTAAAATGGTATGTTTTAATCTACTTACGAAAGTTATTTGCACATGAACAAAACTAGAAGTTAATATAGAGAATAAAAATATTCTGCAATATTCTGGTACTACAGATCCTTTTCCCTTAGAATTTTCTTCAATGTTGGTGAAACCATATTTTTTGTTATAAGAATGAATTAAATCAAAGCAATACAAGGTTCTGGGCTCTGGACTGAGAATTAAGGCCTATGTTTTCTTGTTCTTTTTTTATTTTCCCAAAACCTAGATGCAGCCAGGAATGGTGGTGCACACCTGTAATCCCAGTACTTGGGGAGGCAGAGGTAGGCGGATCTCTGTGAGTTTGAGGCTAGCCTGGTCTACAAAGTGAGTCCAGGACAGCCAGGGCTACCCAGAGAAACCCCGTCTCAAACAAACAAACAAAACCAGATGCACCACTCGCCTTCATAAGCCTTGATTTTTCCGTCTGCCCGGTGGGTTAACACAAACTTCTTTTAACCCAGAATGAACTGAAGGTTCACAAAACCTTCAGCTCACTGAATCCAAGAGCTCGTGTAAGTGTGGTTCTCAGAGATGAGAGGCAAGATGGTGAGGAAGGGACAAATAGGTGCCGACCTTAGAAGGAAATAAATAGCACTGCTTTCGTGGAGCTGCGTGTGTGTCGTGGCCCTCGTCTGAGGCGTGAGTGCGCTCCTCTGATCCCTTAGGCTTTGAAGCCTTGGAGCTGCCATGTGTGCCATGAGCTAAGACCTTGGCCACCCTGTGCAGAAGTGTGTGCCCTGAATAGTTGCACACACGCTCTAGCTGGTGTGCGAAATCCACGTGACGGGATTTTGCAAGGCTAGTTTAATTTCTAGGCCCTTTGTAACCTGTGCCCTCTCCTTTAGCCAGCACAGACAAGGGAGATCTGATTATCTTGTTTCCTGGGCCGGTTAGTCGGCCGCCAATCCCATTAAGTCACTTTCTGCACTCCAGTGCACCGGCCTTCCCCAGGTTATCAGCACGGGGAGAGTAAACGGAGACGCTGGGATCCGATTTCTAAGGAAGAAAGTCAAAGCAAAGTTTGAAAGGGTGACAGCCAGCTGCCAGGAGCTGAGGAACTCAATTAGACTGAGAGACAACTCTCTCATTATCTCCTCTGAAATGGTCCAAATACATAAGAACCTAAAAGTTTTAAATAAACTTGTCTTGCCGACAGTCTAGATGACTGAATTTCCCTTCTCAAAAAAAACTTTTAAGCACCCACTTTCGTATTTATTTATTCTAAGTGCAAAGCAGCTGTGATAATTACGCTGTCAGATTCACTAAGCTAATGAACAGTCACCGGAGTGGAAGGGCTTGCCTTGCCAAGATCACTGGGGGGAGCCTGTCTGCCGGCTTCCCTCCTTTGCTTTCTATCTTTTTCTTCCCTGCTTTTTCATTTTGCTTTTACTGTGAGTTAGGAAGGAGAGTCTGGCAGGCCAACTTGAATCCTTTTGATTAATTTCTCAGTCTCTCAGTCTCTCCTCTTCCCTTCTTTCTCTTCTTTTCTCCCCTCCTCGTCTCTTCTCTTCATCCCTTCCTTCCCTCCCCTCTCCTCTCCTCTCCCACCCTCCCCTCTTCTCTTCCTACTTGCCTTTCCCCTTCTTCTCTCCCCCTGTCCTCCTCCATCTCCATCCCTGCTTTTGAGGGGCAAAAAAGCCTCAGGGAAACCCAGGCTTTCATGCCACTGTCTCCAAGGCAAGAAGAGATTTCTCCTGGAGACAGGCTCCTAAATCGGCTTGGATTTGGGTTGACGGAGAGTCATCTGTAAGTATACACACTGTTTATTTCAGCTGTTTAACCGTTTATGCTGTGATGGTGAGCTAAGGAAGAGTACAAAAGGTCATATTAGAGTGAAAAATGTCTTATTTGGATCAGCAAAAATTTATCCTCCTCCCCCGGCCAGCCGAGCAAATCTATAATTTTAAACCAAAGATGTCAGAACCACAGATTTCCCACAGAGAAGCCCAGGCTGAGCTAACAGTACAGGCTTCTTTCTGCCCTTTGGGTGTGAGCATCTGCGAGCAAACAATTCTATCATAACATTTTATGCCTTTGGTGTGCTGAACATAGACGCTCTGTCTGGTAAATTATGAGCTCTTTAGACTGTGAGCCTGGAGGAGCAATGCCTGAGCAGGGAGGATGTGTGAGCAAGTTCTGTGCCTTGGGGACCCGAGGCCCCTGTTCTGCCCTGCCCATGCCCCCAGCGATGGCAGTGGTCCAGTGGCTACTTGGTGTGAGGAGCTGTGTAAGGCGTCTTGCACACGTGCACATTTAACTCATAGCCATCTGTTGGGAAGTTTTGTTTTCCCTTCATGCCAAGGAGCCCCTTAAGTGAACACTGACTTCAGAAGAACTTGGCCCAGCGCCCTGCTGAGTGCACACGGACACCCGAGGGGCGCGATAAACATGGGCGTCTGTGGAACTGCCAGCTGCCAGGGTGCCCAGCCAGTCACATACAGGCTATCCCTGATCGGCAACGCTTTCGTTTCAGAGCTGTCTCGACATTATCATGGGGTGAAAGCCATATGTATTCCATAGGAACCATAGAACGGGCTCTCCATGTCCAGCTTCCGTGACTGTGTTTCAGATGCAGACGACCCCACGTGTTCAGCGTAGAGAAAGCGTGTCCGTACTTAACACACAACTTTTCTCTCGTCATCATTTCCTTTAAGATGCTGTTTAACTATTTACACAGTGTGGACCACAGTGGGTGTGATGAGTAATCTAGAGGCGAGTGTGTGTGTGTGTGTGTGTGTGTGTTTATGTATGGGTGTGTAATATGCACAGACAGTATGGTCCATACGGTACTGCTATACATGAGCAACTTAGCATCTTTGGGTGCTCAGGGTAGTCCTGGACCAGGCACAAGGGGTGCCTTTCTTTCAAGTTTTGGTCCCTTTGGGGTCTAGTGATGTACTCTGTCCACACTACATCCATGGGGGAAACAACCAGCACTCTACAGTGTAGAGTGTGGCTAAGCCGACGTTCTGTAAGTTAGGTGTGTTCAATGCTTGTTGTTGTTTTGAGATAAGGTCTTAGCAAGCACGTTTTTGTATCTGGTTATTATGGGTATTTTGTCTTCATGTACGTCTGCAGACCAGAAGAGGGCATCGGATCCTGTGGCACTCCAGCTCCAGGCCAGTTGTGAGGCACCCTGTGGGTGCTGGGAGCTGAAGTCAAGACTTCTGAGAGAGCAGCCAGCGCTCTTAACCGCTGAGCCAGCTCTCCATCCCTATGAAGTGCGTTTTTAATGGAGCTGGAGAGAGGTCTCAGTGCTTAAAGGCAATAGCCATTCTTCAAGGGGACCAGTTCTTAGGTTCAATTCCCAGCACTCACACCGCAGCAAACAGCTGTCTGCACCTCTAGTCCCGGGGAACCTGACGCCCACTGACCTCCACAGCTTCCGCATGGATAGCACAGACATGCGTGCAGGCAAAACATCCGCTCACATAAAATAAAAAGTAAATGAAAAAAACATGTCTTTAATTTATGATATATATTGTCTTTCTTTTACGTTGGGAATTGAACCCAGAGTCTTCCACTGGCTTAACAGGACATAGCCCCGTGGTGAGTCAAGGGACATCTGTCTATATGTAAGGATGAAGGTTCGACATAAGGATATTTCAAAATAGTATTTTTTTTTCTTAATTTATGGAAGTCATGCCGTAGGGTTTATTTAGACTCACTTTAGAGACTAATGGATCTGGCATGTCTTTAAACCTCCCGCAGTATATCTAGGCTCACATGCTGTACTTTGCCTGACTTGGTGGGAGTGTAGTCTAGAGTCCTTGGCATGACAGTCTAACACTTCCGTGTGGGTGCCAAACCCTTCCCCGGTTTCGCCCACTAGTGTCCATTTGGCCGATAGGCACAGAACTGCATTAAATGGGGAGCACTTGACAGCTCTTACAGATTTGGTAGTGTACCCCGACTCAGCATAAATTATGAGTGAGCCTGCCTATCTTGACACCTCTTTGGGAAACAGAGCAGAAAAAATATATGTACTGTGGAAGATCTCAGGAAATAGCACACTGATGCTTTTCTCCTTTCCTCCCTACAGAGGAGTCTTTGTTTGCAGTTTCGGGAGTGAAGCTGAAGCCAGAAATGTGTGACCTTTCGGCCTCCTACCGGAAGGGTCACTGCCTAGCCGGGGTTAACAAATGTTGGTGAGGTCGTCCAGATCATTGCAGGTAAGGGGTCCCAGGACCACAGGCGGCAGCTGCTGGCCAGAGGGAACAGTGTTCACCTGTCCCCATTTCTAGGGCAGCCTCTTCAGAGCCCCGTTTCCTAAGACGGGGGAGAGATGAGGTTGTGCGTGGCCACCTCTCCCACCCCTGGAGCCGGGCTCCTGAGTCACAGCCTCTCAGGCTTTCCACCAACACTAGCGGAATAGAGTTTCAGTGGCACTGTTTTCCTTAACCAGGTAGGCCCCTGTGCTAGCTGGCAAGGCACACATCAGGGCTAAGGTTGAGCAGCAGAGCCACTTTTCCCAAAGTTGAGAGGGTTCCTGGGGGGGGGGTCACAGGCTAGTCAGTGCTGATGTGACACTGCTGAGTCAGGAGGCTTTGTCATCTTAGTGGTGAACTATCTTCTCTGGCAGTCTCAAGGAGTAAACGGTACCAGGGTAGATTTTCCCAGGTCCGCCGTACCCTGAAGGTGTCTGCTAGCGTGCACACAAGGCTGGTGGGACATTCCCCAAAGCCAAGTACAGACACCCCGTGTCTCTGGAGCACTTCTAATATGAGCCTCTGCCCTGAGGACAGTGATGCAGATGGCGTTAGTGTGAAGCCACGTGCAGGGCCAGGAGGCCCTTTAGGTGTCCCTGGACAGAGTCCAAACCGTAAGCACTGTCTTGTGATAGGGCCACCCAGCTGGCAACCACAGATTGGCCTTGTCTCCTAGTGGAAGCCACAGCACATCCTGCCTGTGTGCACCCCAGTGTCACTTGCCTGGCATCCTCTGGTTCTCCTTCTCTTGGGTCTCTATCTCCGACTGTCACGATTTAAAGGTTTCTACGAATCAAGGATGTCTGCCTTCTGGCTCTTCAGTAATGATTTGCCTTTAAAGAGCAGGGAAGTTGAGAATTCTAGCTATTCCCCCACAGCATTATATTAATGTCTAAGTGTGTGCCTCGATGACGCCCTATGTGAAATTACAATTGGCAGTACAATTATGTGGTATTCCCCACGCAAAACTGAGACTAAAAACTCCCCATTTAGACTAACTAGCTGAGAGCAGGATGAACTCAAACTACCATCTCCAAAGTGAGGGGTTAATTCTTCACGCCATTATCAAAGCTGCCATCCCTTCCTGAACTGAAGACTGAACCCAGAGCCTGGCGTGTGCTAAGCAAACATTCTAGCCCAAGCCCTGTCAAGATGAGACTAAGGAAAACAGCCTCGAATGCTTGCCTACCTCAGTGCTGCTCTTCCTTCTATTGTGACAGTCTTGGCCTACTTTAAAAAAAAAAATTATTTAAAATTTAGTTTTATTTGTATGAGTGCCTTATCATAGGTAAGTATGTATATCACATGTATGTCTGTTACCTGAAAAGGCCGTAAAAAGGCAGATCTCCAAAATTGGAGTGGCAGACAGTTGTGAGCCGGCATGTGGGTGTTGGGAACAGAACCTGGGTCCTCTGCAAGAGCAGCAAGGGCTCTTAGCCACGGAGCTGTTGCTGTACCCCGGATTTTGTCCTTCTTAAGCAGCCAGAAGGGAGGGAGAGAACCCTGCCTTTCTGATCTACAGAGGACCCTCACCAAGAACGGCTACCTCTACACACAAAATTGGTCATGACGGAAGATCAATTCGATGTGGTATGTGGAGCTGAATCCTAGCAATGGTGGGCGGGAGGAGGCAGATCAGCCTCTAGTGGAGCAGACCCAGGAAGTGCGGAGGCCTCTGTCCTGACACATAGATGAAACCTGTTGGAGATGAACCACAAGTGGGAGAAGCTAGAGCAATTAAACGGTTTAATAAATGGCTTGGGGTCTGTAAAACTGGAGAGGACTGGAGTTAAGGAGACTAGTAGCTGTGCTCACAGGGACACAGGGGGTCTGTAAATCTTTTCCTCTAAATCTGACTCATGTTAAAATATTCGCTTTTCAGTCGAAATGTAAATCGGGGTATTAGGACTTGGTAACTGGCAGCAGTACCTCAAGATGAAGACTCTCGGCAGGGTCATAAAAGTATCAGGCTGGGGCTCTTACACAGGTACTGATGTCCACAGCAAAGGAGTGGAGAGGAAGCAAAGTATTCTGTGTGCAAACCATACCAGTCACCCCTGTGGCCACGGTGATTCTCAGGCGGCACGTTAAAACTCGGGTACTTCCACCCCCGGTGCGCTGAGTTACACTGTAGTTTGTAAAGTCAGAGATAGATGTAAAATACGTTCTAGAGCCAGGCCTGTAATCCCAGAACTCAGCCAGAGCTCTGTGAGTTCGAGGCCAGCCTGGTTTGTAAAGCAGTTCCAGGACAGCCAGGGCTACACAGAGAAACCCTGTCTCTAAACACTAAAAAAAAAAAAAAAGAATAGGTCTCACTTTGTAGCCTTGTCCGGCCTAGAACACACAGAGATCCACCTGCCTGTGCCTTTCAATTGCTGGGATTAAATGTTACACTGGCACACTGAGTTCTTTTTATTAAAGTTTTCCTGGTTCTTGTTATGATGGACAAGATGATTTCTCTCTCGGCTGGAGAGATGTCCAGGGCTAAAGAGTGCTGCTCACTGCTCCCTCACAGGGCCCGGTTTGATACCCAGCTCCCACATGGTGGCTGACCACCATTCACAACTCAGGTCCCTGGGACTTGAACACCCTCTTCTGGCCTCCTTGGGCCCTGCACAGATGTGGTACACAGACACACTTGCAGCCAAAACACCCAGACACTTGACAATCAGTGATGTTTTAATGACTATTTTAAGATGTTGCCTCTGTAATCCTTTATCAGCACCTTTTTAAAGCCAAAATATGGAATTCCGTCTGCAGTAGTGTTTAACCCGTTTTCTTTACTTAGTCTGTACTTTTCTCACTCATTGTTTCATTTTGGTTTTTTTCCTCATTCCCTTTCAGGCCCATAGCTATGCTGTTTAACTGTGCAAGCTTATCTCCATGCTTCGTGCCCTATTTCATGCTGGATCAGAGATCTTTACTTTCTCTCCTGCCGCCCAGAATATTTAAAACACGATGTTCAAGGCAATGATGTAAAACAGGAAGGGAATGCAATGGGAGGTTTTTGCCATTATTGTTGCCTTAAAACAACAACAACAAAACAGACACACACATTCCCATGAGATGTCATGGGAAGCAGACTTCCTAACAGTTCCAGCCATTTTGCCAGTTCCCTGGGCCACAGTGCTCTGTTCCTTTACAGGACAGACTGGGAGACGGACAGCAGGATGTTCTGGAGCCAGAGCTGGTGCTTGCTGCATCGGCCACGTTCGTAGTCCCCTACAGTTCCTCCCAACTGAAAGACTTCTGGGGCACAGAGAGGATTAGTCCGGCTTAGCGAGGTCTCCAGGGAAGGTGGTCTCTTGGATAAAGTTGTCAACAAACGGATTTGCTTGGGACTATTCCTGATGCTCCTCCCTGGGGTGGGGTCAGGCTTTTTCCTCCTTCGGTGGCTCTCAGGGTGCTTTAGCACTGCAGTCCACCCAGATGTGAGGAGTTCACATTGAGCCGCTGGCTAGAGTTGAGTTTCGGGCTGTCTATCACCCGCCACTGAATCCCAATGGTCTGCAGTGATGGCCAAAGCGCCAGGGAACCTAAGCTGCCACTGATGGCGGAGATACTGGAGCTTCAGAGACGCAATTCAATCTCTGTGGCACCATCGGGCACGTGTGAACGCACGCCCAGCTGACACATGTGCCACTTTTTTATAGTGCCTCCTAAAGGAAGCCTGGGAAACTCAAATTACTTCATCAAGGGATCGTCTCAGGCAGTATAGTAGCCCAGAAACCAGAGACTTGTTTGTATCCTTTAGGAGAAGGAACCAATTAAGAGAGAAATTTAAAATGGTAACTATCCACCCAGTGTCTGAGATGAAAAAAGGAAAAGAAATACGTGTAGATAGCCCCCCCCCAAAAAAAAACAGCCTTTGTGTATATGAACAAGCCATTGACAAAGCCCGCTCACTCAGATTTGTAGACCATTGAACTGTTGAGGAGGCGGCTGATGTTTTCCACTGGATCCTGATTCAGAGGAAGCAGACCTAGCTAATCAGCAGCAAGTCAAAACAATACTTATTCCTGTCAGTTTTTATCTGATTTGAATTCTTACACCTTGGGCTCAAAGTGCTCATAACTGAAGCAAGGCTGTGACTTAGTGGAAAGTGGCACTTTTAAGTAGGAGGTGAATTAATTATATAATCTCACCGCCCCCAACAGATAACACTAATCCCTTCAGCCTTCAGAAATGAAAGCCTAAGAAGATGCCCCACAAGAAGAAAAACAGCGTAGCTCTTCTGATCCGGGCACATTCAAATCATTAAGCTCAGCTCCGCATATCGCATACCATGCTTTAAAAGAAGCATTCTATGAAATAGGTGTTTATTGCTCGCCTATTAGCTTGCAGATCTAATCGTGCATAATCTTCTTAACAACACTAAGACAGGGTAGAGATTACAGAGGACACTCAGATCAGATGGAAGTCGCTAGGGTTTGAGTCACAAACTCTGTCCCCAAAGTCTGTGCTCCAAGGTGAACTACCAGGAGGAATAAGGCATGTGGGACAAGCCACGTGGAGGGACCAGCTGCCAGAAGAGGAAAACCCAGGGGCCAGAGACCCTCCTTCCAGTGCTAGGGGTTGTGGCACAGTAAAGGGGCCGGCGGGCTGCTGAGGCCTGCAGGATCAGCACACTGCTCTGTATGGGGTGGGCCAGAAGGCTCGATGAACCAGCTCACCTGGCCATGAGTCCGCACCACAGTGGAGGCTTTCTCTACCTCCTAGATGACCGGAGAGTTATAGCCAAGATTCCACTTGGGAGGTTAAGACAGCTGGTCTTGCAGATTCTTGAGCATGACCTCAGAACTCTGTGACAGACTGCACTGGGGTTTCTGTAAGATCCTGTCGCTGCATGAATAAGTAGACCTTTTTTTTTATTTTCTATGAAAGATTTTTATTATTATTATTAAATGGGAAAAAAATATCCTCTTTAGCTATGAGGTTGTGGTGTATACCTTTGATCCCAGCACTCGGGAGGCAGAGGCAGGTGGATCTCTGCAAGTTCAAGGCTAGCCTTGACTACAGATGGAGTTCAAGGACAGCCAAGGCTACACAGGGAAACCCTGTCTCAAAAAAAAGAAGTATCATCTTTAAATAAGTGGAAGATAAATTATGTCTGTGCCTTCCCCTTCCTCCTTTAATGGCTCTGCCTATTGGAAAGATTAATAAAAATTATGCACACTGGCTCTAAAACATTGAATTTTTCCTTCATTCCTTGATTTTGTAAAATAAGGATTCCTGCTGTTTGTGCATTTTCTCCTATGTTTTTGTTGAGTCCTTTGATAATGACACACTTGGCTTTCAAAAACATAATTGTTTGTACTCCATTCGACTAGCCACCCTTAGCCATTACTGCTGTTCCTTTGGGATCTCTGTCTCTGGATCATCTGTAATCAGCCAGATGTACTCCCTGCCTCGTTAGTGAGTGGAGAGGACAGCATGACTTGTTCTAGCCAACAGGTTGTGAGAAGAAATGACAGGTTTGGTGCCTGGGCCAAGTGTTTGCTTGCTACCTGTGCAAGCCTCTCCAGATTTATTTTGTTTTGCTTCTGCTGTTATGTGGGCCAGAATCTCTCAAGATGAGCCCAGGACAAAGAGCTAAAGCATGGTTGTAGCACATGGCAGCTCAGTATCCAAGTGGGTTCCCTAGTAAGGGGAACAGGGATGCTCTCTGACATGAACTCAGTGGCTGACTCTTTGATCACCTCCCCCTGAGGGGGGTAGCAGCCTTGCCAGGCCACAGAGGAAGACAATGCAGCCATTCCTGATGAGACCTGATAGACTAGGGTCAGATGGAAGGAGAGGAGGACTTCCCTATCAGTGGACTTGGAGGGGGGCATAGAAGGAGATGAGGGAGGGAGGAGGGACTGGAAGGAAATGAGGAAGGGAGCTACAGCTGGGATACAAAGTGAATAAACTGTAATTTTAAAAAAATGAAAAAAAAAAAAAAAAGAATGGAGTTCCCAAATGACACCTATAGTGGGAGACAGAACTAAAACTTTACACTTGGGCTGGACAGATGGGTCAGTGGTTAAGAGCCCACACTGCTCTTGCAGAAATCCTGAGTTCAGTTTCTAGTGGTTTCCAACACCCATGCCAGGCATCTCACAACCTCCTGTAACTCCAGCTCCAGGGGATCCAATCCCCTTTGACCCCTGAGAGCACTTGTACTCACACTTGCTGTCCACCTAACTGCAGAGAATCGCTGTGTCTGGGTATCACCTGATAGTGGCGGTCCTTGAAATCACCAGGATAGGGCTGCTCAAGAGAACATGCACAGCGGTTAGAGCATTGAAGACACACAGGACCTACCCTAGGCCCACACACAGGGGCCGGGTGGAAGAAGTGTTGGCAAAGGAGAGTGCTAGGCCACTTCTGCCCAAAGGGTTATGTGCTAAAGGCTTGGTCCCTCATGTCACATGTTAACTTTAGTGAGGTCTAGAAGGCTGAGTGGCTCAATGGTCAGGAGCTGTGCTGGCTGCTCTTCTAGGGCCTCAAGTTCAGTGCCCAGCAGCCACATCAGGTGGCTCACAGCTGCCTGTAACAGCAGCTCCAGGAGAAGGCAAGCACCTTCTTGTGGCCTCTGAGGGCGCAGGCACTCATGTGGTGTGTGTGTCCCCAGCCCCAAAATAATGAAATAAGTCTTTTCAAAAAGTGGGGTGTAGCTCATGGGCTTTGGGGTCACTGCTTTCCTAGCAGAAGGGATTAATGCTGATCTCACAGAGCAAATTAGTTCCCTCAAGAACAGGTTGTTACGAGGTAAGCCACTGTGCATGCTTACAGGTGACCCGTTGCTTTCCACTTTGTCACTGCGATGTCACAGCACAGCCAGAATGATGTCACCCAGACACCGGCTCCATGTTGTTTGGACCCTGTAGCCATCATATAACTGTGGGGCAAAGAAATCTCTTACTTCATAAAATCCCCAGTCTCTGGTATTTTATGATAGCAACATAAAATAGTCTAACAGAGCCAACAGGAATTAGTAAGGAGAGGAGGTTGTGCGAAGGCAGGTAGAAACTAGGGCCATTCCATGCAGTGGAACTTAGGGAGAAGCGTCTGAAGACTGGGTGGCCTACAAAGCAAACTGTTAAGATGGAGTCAACTGGGCTGGAGCGATGGCTCAGCGGTTAGAGCATTGGCTGCTCTTCCAGAGGACACAAATTCAATCCCCAGCACCCACATGACAGCTCACAACTGTCTGAAACTGGTTCCGGGGGATCCAACACCATCCTCTGGTCTCTATAAGCACTGTATACACTGCGAAACTCCATATAGGTGAAACAAAAATGAAGGTTGAAGAAGAAAACAAAAAGGGCATGCTTCCATGCATTCCCCAACTGTGTATTTTTTTTTAAAAAAAAAAGGGCGGAATGAGCTATGAAAGGCCATGTTTTGTTGGCTACTGATCCCTGCTAAGTTACAGGGGGACTTCATCCACTGATAGAAAAACACAGCAGGTTAAAAAGAGTTGACCAGAAAACAGAAGCTGATCCTTTCAGAAATTCTCTCCTGAAAGGACAGAGGAGATAGGATAGCAGTAGGGAGAGCAAGGGCGAGAGGCTCCCTGTTTTGTTTAGCACAGGAGAGGTAATGCATTTTTACATGCCTAAGAAAGCTGGCAGCAGCAGAGGCAGAAGGAAGGAAGGAAGGAAGGAAGGAAGGAAGGAAGGAAGGAAGGAAGGAAGGA